ATGTTGTCGTAAGAAATTGCGACACAAGTCTTGCATTCAACAGACTACATTTCCGTTTCTGTTACAAATTTCTAGAGCAAACAACTTGGGTAAATATTGTAAATTTTGGTTTTACTAGAACTGTTTTTTTCTCGTTTTTATTCCTAATATGTAACTCTGCGCAAAAATTCATGTAATTCAGTCGACTTTGTCCCTACCCTACTAACTGTAAACGTAGATTCAAGGAGAATACCCAAAAATTATTCTGATTCGTGTAATTGAGGTGCTTAATTGTATTTTAAATGAATTCAAATCAATTTTGCATATTTATAATTTCAGTAATCAGTTGTTTCATATTGTTGCCGTGAATTATTATCTCTTATATTTGACAAAGAAACATATAGTCAGAAAGAAAAAGGTCTGTGGTTGACTAGGAAATGGTACTCACTCTTAGAGATGACCAAACCTATGGTCATACCTTAAGGGTCATACATGCGATATTCTCAATAACAATACCTTAGATGACTTCAAATAATATTTTGTTCTCAATATCAAAACTGTTTGGAATTTAGATATGTCGCCATGTTGGAATTCACTGTAACAACAGCATTTAGAAATGTATCGCATAGTTTATCTGTTCTCTCCGAATACGGGCGTTGTCGCACGAATCGTCACTGAAAGAATCCAGTGACCACTTAAACTATGCTTCCTATACACACAGTGTATGTAAACAAACTTAAGGACACTCAGGGCTTACTTTAGGTGATTCGTAACAACAATGACAGGGAGTAAGAAAACAGATATGCTTAACTTTTTGATATGACTCAGTGATTAGGGTTCTGACATTTGTGAAGCCGAAATTTTGATAGCTAAAAGACGACATAATGAAAATTTTTGGTGAATATAAGAAAATGAATAGGACAGTTTATGAGCTAGGTTTGATTCAGTCTGACTGCAAAAAAAAATGGGAAGAGAAGTGGTAAATTTTTAATTCCAGTCCAGTATAAGAATTAGATTTGAGTCTATGAGACTTTTGTCAAGTCCTTTATTTTATCAATGATTTTGAGTATTAAAACTTGACTTTCGTTCATGTCTGTAGAAAAACTATAGTTTGCCAAGTATGATTAAATGTTGATAAATGATTCGTGTATCTTTATGTAGGATTTTCAAATCTTTATGAACATAGGGACATTTTTGAACTGTATCACTACCATTTTCAAAATAATCGTTTTGCCAATTTGTAATTCGTACAAAAAGGCTGTTTAGTTCCCTGTTCAAAAATATCAATTACTGTTGTGTTTTCCCATGCATATCTCCTACCAGACCAGAAACTAAATTTTGGGTGGTATGCAAAAGTCACTAGTTCCGTGTTTTCAGTGTTTTGAATATCAAGGCAATTCGAAATCTGATCATGGTAGGTATCATAATATGTAGCTGTAAATTACAGATTACTTTTCGTGCCAAATTTATTTGTGTTGTGGACTCGTAAATCTTAAATTCCCACCGAAATCGGTTAAATTATCGCACGGTATTTTCATTTTCAATTGCTCAAGTTGCCGACGGCATGATCAGTTCAGGAAACACTCTGACAAAGTGGCATTGGTGATTATAATCGTGTTGTTTGTGGTATATTCTAGTGTTCCCAAGTTGCTTCAATAATATACCAATCCAACAAGTTCTACATTGGTATTTGCAATGCCCGAACAATAGTTGAAAATTCGAATTTGACATATTGGATTCACGATTGAAAGGTCAAATGTTTAGTCCGTATTTGGCGTTTACCAGACACAAATTTGTTAAGTATTCAGTTGAAAAAAAAATCAAACATTTCCTTGGACAGTAAAATTTAAGCACTTATAACATGAATTCTAAATCTAAACTGCAAAAAAAAAAGGCTATTTCCGTAGTTTTTGTAGCAGGTTAGGGTTAGGCCAAAATGGTATTCCGATTTTCCTTATTTTATATCTATTATGAGTTACGGGGACTGTCTGTGTTAGCCAAGTAAATATTCCCCCCACCCATATGTTTCAGTTCCTTTACACAACTTGATGTAAAGTAGGCGAACGAAATTAGTTACCTCCATATTGGCACACACACACTTCTTGAGCGCCGAAAATGAATAGATCACCATGTACAATAGGCTTTCTAAGTGCTACTTTTTACACTATACCCGTGATATATTTACTTTTTGCGGTTATAGTGTATTTTACCATCGTAAGGAATTTATACATTTTCAGACGTGCGCCATAGATTTTCATCCCATAAAAAGGAATTCTTTTACGGGACAGACATACTTTTGTCGGGATAAGGATTCGGTTGACCAAAATTTTTATCAAAATATTTTCGTGGATTAAAAATGTAACTCTAAATAGCACAGGTGTATTATTATACTAGATTTTTAATATTGACTTGTGATTTATCGGCAACACAAATTTACACCAAAGTCGTAGTGCGAAACCTTGTTGTTTCATAAAATTCAGAGACTTTTTCGTCTGCGAGTTCTGTGACCACGTACTTGATACGACGATCTGTATCTCATCTTAATTTGGTAAAAAATGTAGCTCATTACATTCAGAGAAAGCATAGTGACGTTTCTCTCAACCGAGCTATAAAAGAGACTGAAGGCTATGTACATCCAGTTAGTTTTCGACAAAAATTTTACACTAAACTTGTAATTTCAAATTTTAATTAAGCTTCTTTTTATCAGGTACTCTTCTATAACGCAATCGCGTGACTGAACTGACATCCCATAACCAACGTATCTAATAACTGGGATATCAAAATTCAAAAAAGACGAATATTATATTGGCATATAGTTTCCAGAGGTTTTCATTGCCAAAACTTTATTTAAGACTTTGATTTTGACTTGAAACTTGAAAGCTAAATTCGTGTATTTTTCAAAATTATGGCCCGTTCTCTATGGTCGAGCATTCGTATAAAGCGAATCTGTGCATTTAGCCTTGGATGTGTGTGAGAAGATTTTAACACCTACAATAAATTTTCTCAAGAAATGATCAGAAGTTAATTTAATTTTGCTTTGTATCGTTGTGGCAGGTGAAACTCATTTATACCATTTCTCACGAGCCATGGATGCAAACTTACATGGGAAAGGAAATAATTGTGAGGTACGAGAACAAACTTTGTTATTCAAATTTTACCTAATTGCTTCAACAATACAATGAGCATGTATGACCTCCTATCTGCCATACCCGGTGGTCGATATCGTTCTCATTTTAAAAGCCCTCTGTGGTTAATTTCATAACACGGGAAACCTTTTTTTGATAACTTGCCGGGTGGTTAACGCGTGGCGACAAATTAACGATGAAAATCAAAGAGGATTTTAATAATGCATTGTAGTTGCCGACATTTTTGATGATTGCGCTTTCATGTGTCTTTAATTTCAAATTTTATTCATATGACATATAGATCTTATGTAAGCGATACATGTCCCACCGGGAAGAAAATGAATCAATTGCTGGACGCGATATTCGAACCTCCTGGGGTGTTTTACGACAGCTTCACATAAAATGATCAAATATGTGACAAGTTTTTATATTAATGCATACCAAGCACGGATGTCTATATAAAATGATCTCGTCATTTACAATTAATCCTAAAATCTTGCGTGATTGTCCACTACATTTCACTCTATTTCCCAAAGGAAATAATTTTTTTTTTTTAATTATCAAAATACCCATTGAGAATTTTATCTCTACCGCTTTCAATCGAGCTTTCGTTTTCGAACGTATTTTTTGCTGTATTTGTATCTCTATAATCGGCATACAACGAGATAAAAAGTTTACTGCGCCAAAATATGTTCAACTCGATAAAACTGTAGTGCGATTTCGTCTTTATTGTGATATTTCCGCTAACGTCATCAAAAGTAGTCGATTATCCTCCATTACCGCTCCGCGGTACTTCGCGTATTTATTCTGAGTGTTTAGATTAACACATGGTGTTGTTCATATTCCAGAGAAGTGTGGCTTCGCATAAAAAGCGAATAAGCGTAACATTTTATTTAACCGGGGAATACGTTTAATAAAAGAATTTAATATGTGTGGTGAAGGCACGATGTAATGCTCTAATTGTGGTTATAGTTATGAAGGTTAAAAACAAACAGGTATTTTTATTCGTATATGATCGAAAATACAACTTTATTCGCTCCCAACTTTCACTCAGATAAATACAGCCTCGTTTTATTCCTGCACAAATATCTAGTGTTCATCTTGTGGACTATTTATTGCTAATTCTTTCACACTGTTCATCTATTGTGATTATTATTGTTCACGTCTAAATAGGAAACGACACCCTTGAATTATTGGGTCAATTGCAAGCGTATTAAGTAATAATAATCGCGCCCTCGATAGAACAGGATCATCTTTATTTCATGTCGCCATTGATTGTCTGCGCTCGGCTTAGAAAAAGAATTAGCATAATACTCTGTTCAATTTCATCCTAATTGTCGACATGTAATCATCCTTTGATCAAACCCAATTTGCCTATAATACTTTCCAGGTTTCGTAAAAAAGCTGATTAAATTCGTCCTCATACATCAGTGATTCATTGTCTCCCAATACATTGATTGTCTATAATTTGAAGAGGTTTTATGTCTTGAACAGTTGGATAAATACATGAATTAACGGTGTTTCGTCAACATATTGCAGTTTATCAATAATTTAAAAGTACGTTGCTTATCTACGAAAGTTAGTTTTAATCTATATCAGAGCATAGTTAATTACCAAACTTGGTTTTTCGCGAATTAATAAGCGACTTTATTTTTCGACATTTTCAGTGTCTTTTTTATACTCTTTAGAAAATTAGTTTTTTTTTTCATAATTAAAACATGAAAAAAAATTCATCAACCCGTCTCATAATTATCAAATCTTCAATTTTTCTATGTAAATAAGTTACGTGATATGTCAATAACGCCGATGTCATGCAGCGTAAAAATATTCGCCTTTTTTCCTCCCACCGCGGCGCTCAGCGTTTCGCTTGCATTGAATATCGCAGACAGTCGAGGGATACACGAGAGATCAGTACAGTGTTAGTGCTATTGGCGGCGAAGCGGAAAAACTAGAGTAGTCGATGTAATTCTTGCGTAGATCTGTCTTTACGGGCGAAATCGGTTCGGAAACTACCCTAAGGTAAGGACCGTAGGGGCAAACTTCAGTAGGTCTAAATTTGTATACAACTATAATTTTGAAAGCAAGATATTTATTTCTGTTTATGTAGTTATAGATGTATGACGATGTTACAAAGACTTTACGAGGTAACTTTTGCTCATCACGAAATTTATGGTCACTGATAAGTTTTCAGCATTAGTTGTAGATGAGTATGCGTGTTATTTAGCATTTGACATTGGCTATTGTATGGCAATTTGGATAAATGTCATTCGCTTTTAAGGCACTCATACTAAGTACACGATGTGCTTACATATGTTGTATAAATAATACATCTGCTCTGTCAAATGCAGGCATGTATAAAACCAAAAGTACTGACCGGAACTTTGAGATATATGCTATCCAAACACAACATATTCGTAGCGAGAATTTCAAAAAATTATTATTGATGGGACATGTCAACACTACAAGCATATTTAGATTAGTTTAGTCGCTATCAAATATTGTAATAAAAATTACCCTTCGGTAGTTTGGTCAGCGCGTCTGTCAACAAAATTCATATAGTTTTTTCGAATCTGTATTTTATATTAATTGTTAGTTCATGTCACCTCATCGAAAAACACTATACGCAAGACAATTCTGAAGCAGTATATAATTAATTAGAAATCGTACTTCGAATCGAAAAATTCTTTGACTGCAAAACGGTGATGTCATTTTTCCTTTGGATTTTTCGTCATGAAATCACTCAGTTGACACTGCTGTACGCTCGTAAGCGGTTGATAATAGTTTATATACTGCGGAAATATCCCGTTGCTATTATCAAATACTTCCCAGGGTCATCCTTCATTTATAAGTAAGCTCATTGTACTATTTACGCTTGTAAGTGAAATTGAATTATCACAGTGGGTTACATTCCGCTGTTCAAAACATTAAATCAAGCGTGAGACGGGGAATATTTGCGATTAATATTTCATGGTCCACGTTTGGATGAGTTTAGAAAGTAAAAAAGTATGCATTATTGACCTCCCTGACAAGCATATTTGAGCCGCTTTGTTCTGGGAATGATGTATGATCATTTTGGCTTTAACCTCATTGACTCAATTTGTTTCTGTGGTTTATACCGGTATTGTTTTGTACCTACTTAAGAAATATCATTTTCAAATAACTATAGCTAACGTCGTGATATATTGCAGGTAGGAAAGTATGGCATGACAAATTGTTTTCTGTCAAAGTTTATTTCCGTATGGGCATTTTTATACGGCCATATATTCCATTCAAATAATATCCCTACATGCAAAAGTAACACACTGTCGAATGGCAAATGAAGGCTTCTCAATGACATATTGGTATTGATTTATTGGCAATAAATAAATTGACAAGCAACAAAATTATGACTTTTATGGTTATATGACAGACAAAATGCAAAATTTTATGTTTTTGGTGTCATTTGCGTTAAATAAATTTGTAGAATTTCATGCGAGACATCACATCATGTCTGAGTTAATGAGTTGTAATGAGAGTAACATGCTAACGTCATGGATCAATGATTTCACCAATCAATCGCAACTTAAGCTGATTCATTACAAAATAAAAATAGATGTCGAACCATTCATTCCCAGAAATCGTATAGTGCCATATCTAACTTAATTATTTGAAACTATATATAAACATATTCTTACAAACACAAAGTTACTAAAATTACTTGTGCATTTTTGAAAATTACATTTATTAATATAAAATTAAAATTTCAATCCCAACTAAAGCAAATTGACTTTTTATGCGGAGTGTAAATAACATGAAATTATTCTTAACTTATCTTCCGGGATTTTTGCCAGAACAAAAGCCACGCGATCTCATTTTCTCGCTTGGTCACGGTCTTGTCGGAATAAGTAAGTAGTCTTAGATCACATCGGAAGTTGTTTTGCAAAATAGGTTTACGGACGACAAAGGTGGAACGGAAATCTATTGTTCTACACCGGAAACAAACACGGAAGAGACGAGTACAAATAGAGTGTCATTTGCAGGATTTGCCGTTGTGTTTAGCTTTTTTTTTCGTTACAAAATTATGTGGCGTGGGTAGCTTGAAATCGATAAGTGAGCAACAGACGGAATATAGCAACGGACACAACATGATCTTTCCCCACACAGATATATGTGAAAAAGATGAATCATTTTATTAAGACAACAACTAACGTTATTTTAACTTGCCTTGATCATAAGTTCGACAATACTGCAGAAACGGAGTGATTCCGGTCCTTTTCAGCCCAGAAGGCCGAGGAGAGAAGTCCGAGAGAATAAGTTTCATGAATTTCTAAAGTCTAAATAAGCCAATCAATTACATATAGTTCATTATCCATGACATGTAATTATTTATTTTATATGAGAGAGAACTAATATTAAGGATTTGAATAAATTTTCTCTTTTAAACATCAGCAACGCAGAAAACTTCAATTCCCAACTTGGTAGCCTGGGCTGATTCGATATGTCTGATAACAGCAGTACCTTGTTTAATTCAATAGCTACAATAATATTGGTACAATAATAGCGATAATTTTCTTTTCATTGTGCTTCAAGCATGTCAGGCATTGCGCTAGTAGCAAACCGTTACAGTTTTGTTTGAAAAGCAATTTATTGTTCATCGTTTTATGTTTCTCTTTCAGAAAGTCTTGACGACAAACGTTTTATGTTAATATACCTGTTTAGTGTTTACGACTACCATGGCTATCCCCAATGGGAGAGTTCCGATGAAGAATGCCAGAAGTCCTACAACTTTGTCACCAAATAGATATTCACCAGCAAAAGGAATCCCACAATCTGCAACGTCCTCAACTCTCCGTGATACAAGCTTAGATGAATTGGATCGCATTATGGACACTCTGTCTACTTTGAGCCGAGGAGCATCGTTAGCTGGTGGAGGAAATGGTCCTAAGGGATTCAATGGCCCGTCGCCATTGAGTTCAGATCAAATGTCGTACCCCACGACAGGGACTGGAAGTGAAAGTACTACTCCCTTTTCTGCAACTTCTCCAGTACAGGGTTTCCCAGTATCATCACCTATGACACTACCTCCCCCAATGACGTCACCTCCACAAACTCCAGTGGCGCCATCACCGAGACATTATTCATCCAACCCCAAAATCATGACAATGTCGGCCATGCCTTCCCACCAATTTCAGGGATTTGAAGGGCTGAACGAGGCCCGCAATCCGGCTACAGTTCCACGACTCCCGAGTAATCCGTACGAAAACACAAGCATTCTTCATGGAAGTCACATGATGCGTCCTTCAAATCATTCTACTAGCGACTTTGCATCTTTTCCACAAAGCTCGATTCCCGATTCGTACATCAATAGCAACTATAATACAGAAAATAACGGACAATTTTTCTTTGGGCCTTTACCGGTTTCACCCCAGCAAAATAATCATGGGCGTTACCCCCCTACAGGCCCGAAGCCTGCTTCGATGATACCACATTCTAGCTCGGATCCAGACTATAGTCAAAATAAAAACAGAAATAATAGGGAAGATTACGCCCCAGTAAATTCAAACGCACAATCTGGCAGCCGACCAAAACAGAATCGGCGGCAAAATCAGGAATCAATGACATTGCCTGTTTATAACGAAAAAAGAAGCTACCTCAAAAACCTGGAACAAGGAACTTTACCACGACCCAGAATTGAATCCGCGCGAATAGAAAGTTCTCGTCCAACCACGCCGCAGTTGAGTAGAAAACTGCACAAGCCCAAACCTAGCCTGGGTGAAGAGGCTGCAAATAGTTTAAATCGACTTTCTATGAGACGCCACTCAAGCAAGGGGTTAAGACGTCCTGCTGGAAAGTTCGGGTTGCGAAACTTATCCAAGACTTCATCCAGACATTCTACAACTTCTTTTAACTCCTTCGACTTGGGTAGAGGATATGCTTCGGTGTCTACAGCTCCAGCTTCCACCCATGGGCTAATTCATCACGAGATTCTACCGAACGGAAGAAGCAAGGGCGATGTTTTGTTTCCCCTGCCTGTTGAATCAACCAACAGCGGTACTGATGTGGAAGATCAAAATTGTTGCATGAAATGCGGGACCTTTCTGTATTCTCACATGTTAGAACTCTTTGTTATAGTGGCTTTTTTAGCCGGTATACCTATCGGAATCATTCTTCAGGCCACTAAATTCCATACTACCTCCGCATTTGCAAAGTACTATTCATTTTGGGGTTCAACAATGCTACCGGCAGTGTTATCGACAATTACACCAATGATTATAGTAAGCTCCATGCTGACCGGGATGTCGAATTTGACCCCCGGTATTTTGAGGAAACTAACTGCCCTATCAGCAATATTCTATATAATTTCAACATTAGTAGCAGTGTTGATAGGACTGGGATTTTCCATTCTCATAAAACCTGGGAAAATTGCAATGCCTAGAACGAATTCAACCAATAACAATTCTCTGATTGGAGATATAAATTGGACAGATCCGAAAGAACTTCTTCGAAACGAATTTTTTAAAGATGCCAGATATTCGGTATATGCTTTTAGCGAGGATACACTATTCTACAACACTTCACAAGTGAAAAATATTACAGCTGCAGATGAGATATTGTCGCTAATACGGTAAGAAATTTTAGACATATTTAGCTGTTAAAATAGACCACCCATTCTTGATTCATTAGTTATTTACGAAAAAATTTATATATATGATTCTTGCTCATTCACTATCTCATGATTAGTTATTTAGTTCCATAAATGGAAAATTAAAGCTTGCTTCAATATATCTCATATGAGCAATTCGTCTACAAGATAGTATTGAATTCTTCAACAAATTTTGCACGTAACTTTGTTCCGTTACTATCAGATTGCATTGGTATCCGTGATCCGTAGAGAGGTCGAGTAGGCGATGCATTCAAAGGTGCATTTGCTCAACTTTAAATTGAAAGAAACCTCGTATTTACAGAATTAAACCAAATTGTTTAAATTCAAAATGCGCGATTTCGTGAAAAATTTAATTTAATAAAATTTCTCAATAAATTTTTAGCGTTCACGAATATAGACTTGGAAATATTTTTATAATGTCAAATAAATGCATCCTTTCATTTAACAGATTATTTTTCCCTGGGTGCGGTATTCCAAACAAAGAAGATACGACTTCTGGGGTACGTATTTGCTATTAGGTGTTACCACCAAAAATATTGTCGTATATAGGCATTGTCTTTTCGTCAGGTACGAACTAAGTTAGACATAACAACAGTAACTAAAATCCCTAAATTAGGCAAATTAATCAAATCTGAAGCGTCTATATAATATCTTAAACTTATTTCATTTCAGTTATGCAACGTTTTTGTGTTAGCAATTTTTGCTGGCGCTATCGGATATGGCGCTTCCATTATGAGGGCTGAAGGAGGACCCATTCGTCACGTGATATCACAAATAGGAACTGTAATGTCTAACATGGCGGATATTATGTTATGGTGAGTCGAATTGAGGAGTTTTACTGTTACCATGTTTCGGATTAATATGTGTAAAACTGAAGACTTTTAGTAAAAATAATCTATACATTTATTGATCTTATGTTAACAAAATTGCCTCTTTGGGGACGATTAATTCTTCAAAGAGAACGAAACAGGGAAACGCGAGAAGGAAAACTCAATTTGGTGAAGACTCGTTAAAAATCTCTTACACAAAAAATAGATATCGCCCGAATCCTAATTTGGATGCAAATCTAAGAGTGTAATTTTAGTAGGAGTCTAAATCCTTCAAAATGCCTAAGAATCGCTTGGCGAGTCTTAATAATTGTGTTCCCCCATCTCTAGTCTAGTCACGTACTTTTTCCTCTTATCACACATTAAATTCCATTTCGTATAAATAATATTGTTCAATGACGACAATGGCATGTTGATGAACAATACGGCGTCAGGGGAATTGAGACTTTCTAATGTTTTAATACCCGTTCCATATCCCGCGTGGATAGCTATACTTAGTCCTAGGAAGAAGCGTGCCAGAATCTTGCCTCAAGTGAGGTATATCGCACCTCTTTTCCGAATTTGATTTGACTCGACTTGCCTTGAAAAATGACGTAAAATCGAATTCGGTCTCAACGTACTGAGAGAATATCGACCCAATGTTAAGGCCCATACACTATGCCCTTGTATACAATATCAGAGATAATCCAAATTTTCATAGAATCAATTTTAGATTTGCTTGACGACCTTTTGCTAACTTTGTTATGCATGGATCGCAGTATAAATGCGCGCCTTGTGTGTCGAGTTATTTTACATTGCAATTTCAGTTAATTCTACTACTAATTTTTATATGGAATAGTTTGATCAACTCGTTGACTGGCGTATCATTACTTAAGTCAATATAGCGCGAAGATATCATAATGGCATTGGCATGCATATCAAATAAAGTTCAAGGAGATGGAATAACAACCGCAATTATTTCGCATAAGTCTATATTATACTATTTAGATATATATGTTGTCATCTGCGTTTTTGTTTACACGTCCGGGGTGTTTGAATATATCAATACCACATAAAGGCAATGTATGGATAGTATTCAACTCTACACTTACTATCGTTCACTCATTCTTAATTAAGGACTTTGAACTTAAAGATTTTGTATCCAATCCATTTGCCATCTGCCGCTGCGCGATCGGTTTTAACCAAATTGAACGGTGTTATGACAGCACCCACGTAAAATCAATAGACATTATGGAAGACGTTCACTTCGATCACAGAAGAATTGGAAATAGTGATAGCGCTTGGAAGAAATACTAACCATACACGAAAATCAAAATTCATTTTTATATAATCACTTTTTACTTTAAATCATCCATGACAACATATGTATATTTTGTGAAATGGTGAAGCTGTAGATTGTATGGCAGTTTATTCAATCTTCTCTGGACTCCATAGAAAATGTTACTGCGAAATACGTTAATTACGAGTTATCTGATCCTCGACAAAGCAAAATATTTCATCGAAAATAATAAAAAAATCTAATGGCGGTATTGAAATGCCACCACGACTGGACTTTTTTCGAACTTTGGTAATTTTCATTTCAAACATCAATGTTATTTTTGTCTTTAGAATTGACTATATTTCACTATCAGACATATTGACTTCTTGCTGATATATTATGAATTACACGGTATATTCGATTTCAACCAGTGCGGCTCTCTGCATAGGCAATGAATATTAATGAATCAAGATAATTTCAGCCTATATGTAACATCTGCGAAATTTAGAACAGTATATAAATATTGTGATCTTGAATCGATATCTGACTAGATTTAGCAGAATTAAACTTCAAATTCTAGAAGATAAAATGATCTTTCAGGTGCATAAAAACCGCCGTTTAAAAGCGGGTTTGGTTGCTCGTTTTATACCACAGCTGATAGCAGTTAGTAACATAAAATTGTTCTTGGCAAATACGTGAAATATTATAGCTTCCAACCATAAAGTTGAAAATCCTTTCTTTTGTTGGGGAAATCTGGACAGCTACCGGCGTACTCGTTCGTACCGGTACCGTTGTAACACCGTCCCACATATTTGAACCGAGTATACTGAACTTGAAGTTAATCTTTTTGCCTAAAATGGGCCGCAAAATCCGGTAAACCACGAATCGTTTTATATATGGTCCATACTAGGCCAATAATGAATAGGCATGGTTGTATGAATCAATGACTATTGCGTGTGAATGGACAACGATTTTGGCCAACTGCGCAATTATTCTCGTCGAAACGTAAAGTGATCGTCTAAGCCGAGCAATATTACGTGAACGATGAGGAAATTACTCTGTGGAACTTAAATTCTGTTCTGTTGTGCCTAATAATTTAGGGATTTATCACCAAAATTTCACGTGCGATCTGACAAATCTGGGAAATAATCAGTGAACAATGGATCAGATGTTATGGCAACAATGGTTGTTTCGCCTTTTTATTTTAAAGGTTTTATAGACTAAATTCTGTCTAAATTTACAAGAATAACTTTTAGGCAAAAATACAACGCTTGAATCGACTACGGAAAGGTCAAATTTGCGGGCATATTCCTTATTTGTGTTTTCCAACTCAGTAAATGATATATTTTACAGAGGTAAACTGATTCACTGTGTGACGAACGTAATTTTCGTAACGAAGTATGTTGTTTAGATCGAAAAACAGAAAGGATTTACGGGCGAATGAGAACGATACCCGTCGTTAGAATGATTGGAGCGTTGAAAATTCCCGTTTTATAACTCAGCATGTGAAATGCTTACAATACACGATGTTTTAGTCTCAGTATTGTTTGTTTCAAACAGTATTTTTATGGTAAGATCGGTAATAGGATATAGATATGTACTATTTCGAGCGCATGAAATGTGCCGAAAGCTTACAGAAACCAAGGTGCTTCTAAACCTCGTGAACCGCTCAATAAAGATCAATGAACTTAGTGACGTAACCATCTTCTACGTAAAAGGAAGACCGCGTATTCTTATACTTCTTGTTTTTTCTAAGGTATCGTCTTATTTTGGTGTCGAGTGAATAATTTAGTTAGAATCGGATTTCCTTAAAAGCGGGGAAATGGGTACTTGTTTGGTTTTATTTCGTATAGTACTACAATCCAAAAAAATACCTATTTCCTTTCAAACAAAAGAATGTATGGGTGGAATGCAACACAGATAAAAAGTTTATCTCTGCTTTGGATTCCCAGTCCAAGATCATATTTACTTGAACACATGATCATTTATTCACATTCGAATAGAGATTTTGAATAAACGAGAAATTTCTGAAACTCTAAGTGCCTAGGCGCAGTCGCACTTTAAGTTTTTTTTTGTTATTTGATTAGTGGGCAAGTTTTAATAGGAAGGGTATCCAAATTTTTGTCGAAAGATTTATTTAAATTCTTAAAAATTTTCGCCCTAGCAGAAATACAAAAAAAATGAGCAACTCGCACAAAAATACCGAACAAAGACGTTGTAGTCTAACCGTCTGCTTTCTATTGTCTTCCCAGTTGTTTTTTCGTGTCAGTTTACGACTGACGACAATTGGTACTCACGCCGATGTATCCTCTTCCTGCATGTTTGCTAACTTAGTAGTTTCCTTTTATTTAAAAATGTGAAAGATTCCACAATGGGTGATGTAAGAATGATAAATTTGAGTGCGATTTTTCAAAACTTATTCAGTACGATTAAAATAGATAAACAGCAGTTGGTTACTGTTAACAAATCAGTTTTTCATTTGAATGTAAGCGAATAATTATCAAAAGCAGGATAAGTAGTTCTTTGCTTGCATATACATTGCATGGTGGACTTTCACACTATTCAAATAAAGTAACCGCGTTTTTGAGACAAATGTACATACAGGACTGTATTTCTCTAGTTGATTTGACTGGCATGAGGTTGTCAACAAATTTCGACTACACGCTTGATAGCGAATTCCCAGTATGTGACTATATCACAACAGTTAAGCGAACTGGGCTAGCTGTTTAAGCTCGCATTGGTATAATTTTTTTTAAATCTTCGACACAAGCCATCACACTAGTCAAATTGTAATACAGGCAATTGTGAATTTGAAAGATTCCGTCCCTTCCAAAACAGTAGCAACCTATGTATAAGTGACTGTTTGTACGTAAATATGTTCGACACCGTTGTGTAGTTTGGTTGTTTTGGTGGGTTTTGTAAGAAAATTGTATCCGTATATCAATAATTTTACCATAAATTCGATTCCCAAAAATGACCATAGGTATTTAACCATATTATATATATATATCACCGAACACAATTCACCCACGGTACTATTTTCCAAGCCAGCTGTTCGCACACACTGTTTTCGCGTAAAATCACCTCTTAGCAGTCGACTCAGCGTAAAAGATCAATTGTGATAAACGACTGCTTATAGCTTGGAATTAAAACAAACCGAGTCGGACTAATGTTGCACAAATTTGAATTAAAGAAATGTGTCTACTAAGGATGAATGAATTATTCACATCAAGCGCGAGAAATTCAAAAGTCGAGTTAAAAGCTTTCGTTCTTCGTGAATCCGTCTTAATCCAAAGACCACTGGTTGCAGCTTTATGAATTTTTTATGTCCTTTTGGCTAATTAATTCCTGATCAATTTGGATTCTTTCACCCGAGCTAATGCCGTAACTAAAAATTCATCGAATGAAGTGAACTCTAACTTGGATTTAAACTTGCAATTTTGGTCGACAAAATTAAATTATTCAAAATACCACTGGATGACGCAACGAATGAAGTAATGTTGGAATACGTCAGAACAATTAGGCCCCCTTGCATGAATATACATGGTACAGAAGTGTGTTTATTTTGCGATAAAGCATCATTTATTTTCGCTATATTAACATTTTGATGATATATAATATATGTATATAAAGTTGAATTGACATTGATACTGTTTAAAAATGAGAATGTGAAATAAGTTTACAAGAAAATTCAAATTTTATTTATTTTTTAGGTATCTCCCCATTGGCATTGTTATCTACGTTTCTGAAATTTCTGCTACCAGAATCAACTGGGAAAATGTTGGTAACACACAGCAAACAACGGAGATGGCAGATTTTGGTGGGAACACTACTGCTAATTTGGGTGACGTCACAGAGATCAACATCGCCACCATGTGGTACCTTCTCGCCGTTTTGGCGAGCTTAGGATTGTATTGTCTCGTTCTTATGCCTCTAGCTGTCAGCCTGATAACGCTTTCCAATCCTTTTGCATTACTCGGATTTAGATCAATAGCCCCACTTCTCGCTGCTACCACTATAGGCTTCAGGTAACGGTTATCACTTAGAGAAACAGATTTGATTTGACAGCTAGAGAATATATTCTATGATTCTAATGCTGCCCTTTATTACAGTGACTTGTGTATACCAATCACCGTGCGTTGCCTTCTCAAAAGAAAAGGAACAACGCGTTGTTGCACGCCCCAAGAAAAAATAGACAGTCGCATATCTAGGATATCCGGTGTGATGGGTGGAATCTTTCATCGCGGAGGTTCTGCAATCGTTATCGTCTGTTCTACGATGTTTTTGTGTCAGTTGGGATATGAAGAAATAAGTGCATTCGGGATGGTCGTTATGTGGTACGTTTGTGGTGGTTATTGCGCTTGAAAATGCAATTTATAAAACTCTATGCTGTCCATTAGTTGCTGTTTTATAGATAAACGTTTTATTACAGTTTTTCTGCAACTATAACCTCTGTGACGTCGCTTGGTGGAAGATGGTTTTACGGCGGAGATCCAATGATTAGAGCAATTGTTGTTGGAATGACAACTGCTGGTGTGACGTCACCTTCGGTAATTCCAAGAAAAATACTCACAATGTGGCTTATGTAAGTTTTAACTAATAACTAATAAAACGAGAATATCGGTCAGAGACCAAAGACTTATCGATCGAAAGTTAGGGGATCTCCCAAAACAGCGCTTTACTCCATAGTGACACCTTGTGTCCCATCACTAATTAGTTAATAACTCGCTAATTATACGACATAATTCGCCCAAAATCAATAGGCGTCTAGTCCGAAATATGATGAATGCACATGCAAATCTGGAGCAGATTCAATTTCGTTTTCGTGAGATATTGCGTGCATCTAACAGACAAACAAACAGACAGACAGACAAATACCTATCAACATACTTACCGATTAAAATCGATAAGTAAAAATACCCAGTAAGATTTGTATTAAGTTTATTTCCTCATTAATCGACAATTATTGGCTTGTAATAGTTTGCTTCCTATAACTTTGTTCTTATTTGTTCAGTTCGCGTCTTGCTGCCTTCACTGACACAATTATAGACTTTTTTGGGGCACATTTACTTCAAAGAGCCTGTACATCTGAATTAGAAAAAATTTCAATTGTGAGAGTGGAATCCAGCGACTCCGGGAGCAGTGGTAAAACTTTAGAGTTATTGGGAACTCATTCAATGCCATGAGTTAAATTCACTGAATCAGTTTTATATACAACAGTATTGCACTTTATGAATTTTATAGTAGATACAATTTTTATAGTAATGAGTTACAACGTGCAGGTGTGGATTTTAAATTGGGAAAGAAATATTAAAATCTACTAGCAATTGGTTTTTCTGAAACGGAAATCCTTGTCTCAATATTGCCCCTGGCGAGTTCAACAAAAAGGCATTCACTTACGTGTCTGAGATAAATATTATTTCATAATCGACCATTGCAATCAGTTCTGCTACTTTTTTACAGATTCAAGTAACCTCGATAACAAAGTTGCTGAGATTACAAGTTCAGTGAACAAAAGTCCTCCTGTACGGACAAATAGCGGCGAAATAAGTGACTATGAAGATGCTCCTCTATTGTTTAGCAGGTTATTAAATGCTACTGTTCTGGGAAATACCGAAAATCGCCCCGGTTATGCCGTTGTGCAATATGATCAGAATGGCAATACACGTTATAATGGGTCGGCCTAAGGTAGGAATTGTCCAAAGCTTGTCACGTCGCATGTGAGCTATTTCGTGGGTTGTTTGGAATGGTATCAATGCACGGAATTCAATTTGTTGTGGTTTGTATTAGTGCATGTTAAGAAACTTGCATGTTATGTTGTGGGGTTGAAAATTGAAATCCATTTTTATTTTTTCGGACAATAGGTGGAGGTACGTCATGAAACTTACAACTGTCACGTTATAACTACTTCAAAATCATTTCCTCTGTCACACATCGTCTGCTCATCCCAATTTGCTGGATCAAATGCACTGGAAAATTTATGTGGCATGTATACCTATTTCTGATTCAAGGTTAGAATAACTGAAACCATTTTATTTCAGAACGGAAAGGGAGGGAAACGAGTCCAGCTCCGTAAACAGTCATAATGACGACTCCGTATTTCTTCCAAGTAAATCTCATACCTCTCGAAATCATCTTCAAGCTGATACAGGCGTAACAAGCCACACTAGAAATCTGCAACAAAGGCAAATAGCGTTGGCCAATCACGGACTGCACTCATCATCTGCAGCAAACCAAAATATAGCAAACACAGCACGTGATCTAGGGCCGAGACAAAGTGAAGGTGTATCTAATCCAGCTATAAATAACAAGGATGAAATATCATTTGTTACTTTCTAACTTTTAGAAATATGAAAAAGAATTGTCCAAATATTCATTTTATCCTTCATTCTTCAACAATATTTCATTTGATATGTCGCCCTTGAGTATAATTTGATAATCCCGTGTCATAGTACCAAATGAATCTCCCAATTTCTATTTATTGATATTGAATTGTTATGTTTTTTTAACTTTTTGTATTCCTTAAAGTTTTTCATATTTTCTGGCACTATATTGCACGAGTATAAACGACCAAGTTTTGTAGAACGATTCTCTTATTGTTTCAAAACTCGCAATTGTTGCTTGAGTCAGTCGTAGAATGTTGGAGATTGTATTCAAAAATGTTTTTATGTTCCTTCCCCACATAAATATTTAGAAAGAGTGAAATTATCGCCGACCAAAATAAGAACAAGGAAAATTCAAATTTTATACGAAAGTTATTTATAATGAAATGATAGTAGGCGTTTAGTATTTCACTTCAATGCACGTGTTATGTCTAGTCTTTCAGACAAGATTTTGGATGATTAAATCCCACATTACCGAAATTTTTATAAGCATTTTTGAATCCACAGTTGCTCTTTCGAAACTATTACCGATTACAGCAGATCGAGAAAATAAGATTGAATCATGTTTTTTGGTTATGTTGTTATGAATTTGTTCTTGTCATTTTTTTCGCTGAAAAATAAATTACTTGTATTTCTTGTTCCTTGTCTTCGTTTCATATGCAACACCAGGAAATACTCGCAGAGATAAACTATTCAACCAGGAACGATAATTAATTTGCACATACAGGACGTGAATCAAGAGAACGTAGATAATTGACTTTCCAGTAGTGTTATGGATGAATCATATCAAAATTTTAAATGTTTGTTTAAAATTGTGTGATGACTGATGAGCATTTGCCTGACTGATGAAATTTGCCCGCAGATTTCAGATGAACAATATGAGCATCTTCATATCATGCCCGGAAAATTCGCGCAGATTTCTGCGGCGAATTTTCCTAGAACCGCTTCATATACTTCGATAAAACTTCAATTCATGTGTAGTCTCAAGAAGTTAGAAATCAATGTAAAGATTTGAATGTCATCCATTTATTCGTAAATAGTGTAATATGTTAGTATAGAATTGTTAATTCGAACTGAATAATTGCGCAAAATACTATACTTATGTTATAAGCGCTATGAAAAACATAACAACAACAACAAAATAGGCAATTGCTTCATTATATATCAGGGGTGGCCACGTCTTGAGTAGATCGCGTCGCCACTCCTGAGAATTTGGTAACATACCTCAAAATATTACCTTGAATCAGTTTCATGCAGCGTATGTTGTGTGCTTTTAAAACAGCAATAATACAGTACTGTGTACACGCAAAATACGATACAGTATACACATATAGTATTTATGCCCGGACAAAGCCAACAGAGCATAATTATAACGTAAGAAAGGCAAGTTTCGCCGCTACCAATTTTAAGAAATATCTTGTGCCTTGACCAGGGTTGCCATATTGGCTTTTTAACGCCAAATTTACCATTTTTGGCTTTTTCCAAACATGTTTGGCGTTCGAATTTCCGTTTGGCTTTTTTAAGTCTATTCTATTGTCTGTTTTTTAAATAATATGAAATAATATATTTACTGTGCAACCATTTAGTCTATGGCTTAGCTACATAACTTTTGGATTTCCCCGAGCATTGATTTTCTTGATATTAATTTAAAGCTCAACTATAATCAATCAGAAAAATTGCGATTTCTGCAGACGCTTAGACAGACTTCCTGCAGGGTTGTAAACATTGCCTCGTTTTTATAGTTTTGCGTGTTATTTGTCAGTTTTTAGTTCTGTTTCCAAAAAATAGTTGTATAACTTAATTGTAATTATGCCTTCCGAGGAGCTTTAGTTTAGTTGCAGAAATCAAAATGTGTGATGTGATGATCAAAACGATGTGATTACTACGCTAAAATTAGCTTTCGGCTGTAAGTGTCACGTGGTAGATATTTTTTTAATAAAAATGATGGTTTTAAAATTTTCAAAAATAGTACGGTACGGAACATTGCAAGACATATCGAGAGTTTAAATAGAAACGTGTAGGTATATCACATACTGTAGCGGCACCCTGTATTGTATATATTGAATTGTGAAATAATGCTGTCCGTTTGATATTTCTTTTTATTTGCTTTTTTTATTTTTTTTTATATAGATGTGTCGAATGTAGACTCTGGTTCTGCCCTTTATTTAATCCCTTTTGCTTTTAAACCCTTCATCCCGCCGAAGTGGAAATCGCCATGATAGCAACCGAAAATACAACTTTCAATGGGAAAAGACATTTGTGTGTCTCACTAAATGAACTGATGGCTCTACATAAGCATATTGAAAACTGTGCAAATCCATTATTGTGCCAATGGTTTCAAATCTGACAAATCATACATCGCCACGCTAATAACCGAATTGCGTAAGTCATTTTTAGCAGTTTTGAGAAAAACGTAAAAAACTTCCTAATGATATTGTTTTGTCATTGAGAGTCAATAATTTGCCATGGTTCAATTTTTTAATCTTAGTCGGATTTAAGTTAATTTGTATGACGCAGTTAAGTGACGTCATAATGGCGCACTGTGACTTAGGCAGAAATGTGTCTATGACTTGGGGACATACGCAATTTTGCAACTTCACTATATGCACCAGTCCTGAAAACTAAACATTCCAAAAACGAATGTAATTTTCAGTATCTACAATGTCTAATCCCCAAAATAGCTAATCAGTTTTAATTACATTATTTTTTATGTTTAAAAATATATATTTCAATAATATAACACGTTCTGTGCACCCACCGAGATAAGACTAAGATTAATTATAAAGAATAAAACAGCAATGCACCCAATATAAAAGCCTACCAAGGTGAATTGGACTCGGACAGTGAATATCACAAGTGCACGCCTTCCTATACTGTAGTATAAATTCAAATTAATACGCGTTAAGCTAGAATTCGAGATGCAAAAACTCGAAAATACTTAGCCGAGGTTATTTTGCCTTTGTGACGTCACAATAGTCCTACGGCAACAATGATAATCCATTATGACGAAACAATTGCACAAATGTGCATGTTATACTAAATCCCCATTTTTATGGGTTTCGGAATTCTTAAAATAAAATCTGAGTTAACAGACAGGTGCGCAGCATTACATAAATACCTATTTTATAAAAAACTCAAAATCGCCAAAAATGACTTACGCAATTCGGTTATTAGCGTGACGACATCATTTTGTACTTAGTAAAATTGTTGGCTTTTTCTGACTTTATTATGTCTTGATTCGGCTTTTTTTGATCGCTGGTACCCGGCAACCCTGGCCTTGACTGACGAGATTGTACAATAACTTCTGCAGTATATGCTAAAGTATTTGTCTCACTGGCAGTGGCATCAGAATGCCCAATTTTTTCTGATTCCAAGCGAGCATAGAATCGGGCTAGGAGGAAATTGTAAATTAGGAAGTTTGGACAGTCATGTAACATTTATGGCTTGGGAATATTTATTTTTTACTGTTTAAAATAGGATACGTGGATACCAGGCAAGATTTTTTGAGGATTTTCAAAACTTACGACTAAAAATTAGGCAGATCTTAATGAATGATGAAGCATTTACTCATCAAATTAACTGGGACGTAAAAAACGCGAATTTTTATGGCGATTTCATTAAGAATGCTCCCAAAGAACCGAGCAGCGGTGGAATTTTTTGTATGCGCGTGTGCAGCTATCTGCATATTCAAATTCATTTGTTTTTGTGTATGACCTTATTACCGATCAGTCGATCTCGAGCTATTCTGACGATTTAGTCGATCGCGGTCGCAAGTATAGGTTGGCCACCTCTGTTATATATCATGGTCGGGAATTTACACCATGAACCTGAAAGCCACTCATATATATATATTATTTAAGAAAATAACAGAATGACAAAAACATGATTTACTTGTCAATTGCATTTTTATTCGGAAAAAGATTGCTCTGACGGCGGCAAAAATGTAGAAACTTCAAACAACTGCCGATTACCAGGTGCAAGGACATCGCCGACAACATTGCCCACCTTTCGGCAAGAATGAATGAAGAATAATTGAAAGTCGGGTCAAACTATTTTCGCAAGACGTAATCGGTGTTTGACATTTCTGACTCAACATAAACCAACATAGAGTTCTTAGGAATGTCTTGCAATACAACTTGTTTTCACCATAGTCTTTTCGACTCCGGTTCGACATTACTGGCTCAACACAAACATATTGGTCTTTTTCTTATAGCATTTCCGATTTTGGCTTGCGACCTTGCTATAAACAAATTCGAATAAAAATTGCGTGCATAGATAGCTTGAAGAGAATGTAAGATTGTAGCCGGGAAATAACTTTTGAGCAACTTTTTTTCATTGGCAACTACAATTTATTTGCCTGCCTACCATTGTACTCTTATCAGTAAGATATCTGTTATACCCTAGAAAACAGTCCTCATAAGTATTTTTAATTTCCAAATACCCAGAGATGAAATTATGACGAAATTAGGTGCTTTCCAGGCATCGAGAAGATCTCGGTCAAAATTCCCGGGCATTTGAGTGATTGTCGAAGGCTTGAGTTATATCACGCCAGTGCACTGTTTAAAACTATTGTTCTGCGTATGAAATTTGACTCATTATAGTCGACGACATAACCTGAAAGTTCATTTCAGTACTTTTGAATAGTCACACATATTTGTATCGCTTTTGCGTTGTCGATGTTTTTCAAAGCTGTCATATTCAGGGACATGTTTATTGGAGTATATTCATTTTTTATTAGAAATAGTGATTCATGTTATACAGACATTTAGCTAGAGGAGAGTACTGGAGCTCAGTAAAAATATAGGGCAAATAAAAGTAAAGTTGTGAGCAATCATGAATCTTTTTTGTCTTACGCTTACGCTAAAATGTATTGTCTTCCATTTTCACAAATTAAAAACAACTTCTCAATGTTTTTATGCCTTATGTATGTTATGTGTTTCATATTCATCCATAAACTTATGTTTCGACTAAAACTAAGTATTTTTGCGTTTTCTGTGGGGACTTCCAAAAAATACTGTTCATTCGTCTTTGGCATATCACACAATATATGACTAAATTGACCGGGAAACCACAAGTCCCACAAAACGGGTAAAAGCACGGTATATCACACAGGAAATACGTGCGGTTGCATCTCTGTTGAGAGCGCTAAAACAAAAGTAGGCTATTTCCATTCAGTCAAAAAATAAAGAACGCTGATATTGCTGCTTCATTATCTTGCTTTTTTGCTGTTTGTCTCTGCCAACGCAATATATATATATATTAGTCACGTACTCTATTCATATATATATTTAATTTATTGTGAGGCATTCACGTTACAGGGAAATGAGTTTTTTGCAACCTCAGTACTTTGGCAACTATAGTTATTATATATAGCACATCTATATCCTTCATTTTTACTCAATATTATGAACTCACATGATATCTAGCGTAGCCTACAAAACACGTTACCGGTATAATGTTGATATCATTATCCCCAGAGCCTTCTGATTAAAAATAGTTTCCGATAAAGAAGTTTTTCTTAAAAAGGTTTGAAAAATTGAACTTTGTCGAGATTAAACGCACTCTTCCTACATGGCACGACAAGCCAATCTTTAGTTTATGCCGATGTTGTGTGAGCTGCATTGAGGGTGATATTTAC